TTCCTATTAAATTTAATGGTATTTTCTGAAGTAATTAATTTTAAATAGATGTTGGGGAACGGCGACGAATGAGCGAAGTCAAAGTCAACATTTCGTGCAGAATAGTACTAAAAACAATAATGAGGGTGATGCTAATATTAATAATAAAAAAGTAAAAGAGAGGGAAAAGGGCAGAAATGGAAAAGGAAGAAAACGCGTAAAGGAGCAGGGCGTAAGGGGACAAAGGAGCTTTCAATGAGCAAGCAAAGCCCACAAATCTGCTTCGTTTTGCGTGCACGTCTTTCTATAGACAACCTACTCCTCTTCCCTTTTTTTTTTTTTTAAAAAAAAAAAACAATTCGTGTCCATGCACTAGTATTTGCCCGCTGTTTGATTTATTATTAATGTTAACATTAATAATAAAAACAATTCGTATCATTTAATATTTCAAATCCTTTTTTGTTTTGCCCGCTGTTTTTTTTTGCCATAATATTTCAGACCCCATTGAAATGTAATGTGATTTGTGAATAGTTCGCATCTTTATAATTTATACTCTTGGGTTAAAAAAATAAAGCATTTTTTTGAAGGATTGATCGTTTAGAATATATTTTTAATATTTAAAGATATAATTAATGAATATTTTTAAAAGTGTCCATAATAAATAAATAATTTATATTTATTTAAATAAAAAACACTTATTTAAATAAATATGAAGATGTATTCTTATTTTGTAGACACTTAATTATTTCATTTATGATTGAAATTTGATTAAAAATATTTTATTTTTTAATGGAGAAAATATTGAAAACTTCATCACTTGATCCATGTAATTTTAAATAATTTAAAACCTAATTCCTAAATTTTAATTTGGTGCAACATAAATTATATAATTTTATTTCACTCAAAACTTAATATCTAAATTTTAACTCTTGCAATTCAATTTTCATAATTGTATCAATTTAAAATGTTGTTCTCTACAATTTTTTAAAAATAAAGTTATGTTAAAAATGAGTAATAGTTCAAATGTCTTGAAGTGTAAAGATTGAGTTGTATTGAGTTAAAATTTAAAGATTAAATTGTAACTAAATAAAATTATAAAAATTGAATTATAATCAAGTAAATACTAAAAAAACATAGAAATTAAATAATTAATTTTTCTTTTATATGTTTGGATAACTCCAAATAATCAATTATGCCTACCCAAATCATGATTTTTAAACAAAGAAATCCAAGCACTCCCTGCATCAATACATCACTAGATTAATCGGTATGCTTAGGAATTCTTTCGTTAATGGCACTATCAACATAATGCAACAGATGAATTTTCGACATTTTCAAAATATTATCTGCCATTCAATTAAAAGAGAATAACAGTTAGATTTTAAAATATTAAATTAATGACAATTAAATCTCTAATAAAAATTTTTTAAAAAATTGAAAAGACAATTGCAATTCTCAAATTTTAATTGCTAATAAAACATTGAAGTTTTAAATATAACTCCCAAAATATCAAGTCCAAAAAAAAAAAAAAGAATGGGATTCTCACTCTAATCTACATTTTCAAGTTGTGCAAGATTACAAAGGTACATGTAAATGTATGTATAGTTGCAGATAGCATATACCATATAGCTTGCCAAAGAACGGTATATTTTCCAAAGGCCTGAAGGAATATTTGTACTGTCAATAATGCGTATAAATTCGCCACAGACATTTCCTGTAATAAACAAATATTCGTATACAAAGCACTGCTTTATACTTGCCTATTATTGCGTGCAAGTTAATGCTCCTAAATGTTCCATACCAAAATTAAAAATTCATGAAAATTATTGTTCATCATAATTCTATAATGATTCCGGAGTTCTCTATAATTTCCTTTCACAACTAAATGAATCTCATGTCACTTCATCCTTCAATTATATTGTGACTTGTTATGTGTTTTACACATGGCTTTCTTAATTAAGTTTGCCTTTAGGTCATGTGGACGTGATTAATTGAAACATTTTGGACTGATTAGAATACGTTTGAGACGTACAATATGATGATAAAAAAAAAAAATTGCAACACATTTATGCCATTACATTGGTGTATATGAGGACGAATTTTTTTAGCAAAATAATTATTAATTACTTTCTGATGATAAATATGTAACCCTTCAATCATTTCCAGTGACTCTCATCGAATCATCCTTTGAACTAAGGCTTTATCTGCACATTATTACAAGCAACCGCTAGGAAATTAAAATTTAGTACAGGTGTACAACCTTTATTTTCAACAAACTTTTCACTTGTATTAAGGCTTGTTGAGTTCAAAGACTCGTTTAGCATACAGATGAGGGAATTTCAAATCTATACATGTACTCTATATGACACATATCATAAGACATCTCTAATCACATTAATAAAACAAAGAGAGGTGATTAAGTCATTAGTTTTGATTGAAAAAAGAATAAACTTTTTATTTTACTCATTTAAATAAAAGAATTTTTAATTTACATTACATTCTCTCTTATAATTAATAAATTTCAATAGGGATAGTCTTTAAAAAATATAATTAACATTTCATCAAGTGTCTTATATTAATGATTATCAATTTCTCATAAAAGGTGACTTATAATAACGAAGGGGAGGGTATATATTTTTTATAGTTCTTTAAAAATATCAAACTAGAAACAGCTAAATTCATGAATAGCTAGAGTAAGTTAAGAAAATTGATCTCATACAAGTTTTCACAGATGTTAAGATTAGGAAAATAAAATCCAATACACTTATATTTTAGTTATAACGAAATTCTTTTTCCATAGTATTGAAAACAGGGTCCAACTGACTAGTTGAACTAATGCCTTAACTAATTTAATAAAATGCTTTGTATATGTTCAATTTTATGATTTTAAAACAATTTAACTACAGTTTTGTCATTAATCTTTTGAAAGGTTGACCAGCTCAATTTGGTGAAAGTGAAAACTTGGATGACCAGGTCCAGGAGAACATGTGAAAATGGACGCATGAACTTTTGTACTATATTCAAGTCTCACTCTCTTCCCCTATGTCACTTCAAAGTAATTTTAACATCACAGGACCTGAATCTAAACATGGCATGTTTCATTGAGATTCCATGCTCTCAACGACACTCCCAAGAAGCCGAAAGGGGCAAAAAAAAAAAAATCTGTTTCAACGCAGAAGAGGGTCCAGTATTTTTTAAGAATAGAAAAGAGAAGGTGTCTTTTATGGTTCAAATACCTGAAAAGCTTGGATTGCTTTTTTGACTTTTCAGAGATTTGAGATGCAGACACTCACCGTCGTTTATGGGTCCCCATGTGGCAGAGTTCCATGCCCTTCAAAAAAATTAAATCAAGAGAGCCACTCTTTACTATATTCAACTTCCATGTCAAGCTCTATATAATATAATAACACAACAAGCCATACCTGTTTTAATACAATCTCATTAGTGTAACTCCACCTAACCTTTTGCTCTTGCCTGTTCAAACAAACACAGCTCAACAAGAAGCCCTTTTCACATCAATATCTTCATCTTCTGTGTCTTGGATATCAAGTAACAATCAAAACACTTGAATTTAATATGCTAATACTTAGACCATCACATTCAAACAAAATAAATTAACGGCTATTTGGTATACCGTTTCCTTGACCATCATAACAGGGTTCCAGAAAGCATCAAGTCATCTGAGATATCCAATATAAGAACAACACTATTTTAAAATGATGTGGACTTACGTTTTCTTTCTATTGTCATATCCAATGGTTTTCGTGTATCAAACAAGAACTTGATTGTTTCAACTCTTGAAAAATATTCATGTACCAAGATTGTTTTCATGACAACCTTAAATTATTTATGATGCTTTTTATATTTATGCACCAATACATGTGAATTTTTTTTTTAAGAAATTGTGAGATTAAAACATATCAAATCCCTTAAAGACTAAGATTCTCAATAGCCAACTTTTCAATTGTTTATGATGCTTTCTAGAAATTGTAGGAGTAGACCGGTTGACTGGATCATGCATTAGACTAGGCATCATCTCATTTCGGACTAAGAACAATGACAGTATTATATATATCATAAACCATTTACATCTAAAACCATTTTGATAAGATTGAGATGACATCATTGGAGAACAAATGATTTTGAAGTGCTTGTCATCTTCATCTTGCGTAGTGTTGCCGACAGATTTCATTCGCAAACTGAAGCTTTTGTGGGTCCCCTCTGAATATCAGCATTTGCTTAAACATGGTTGCCACTAGCATCTACATTATAAAATTAAACATTAAACAATGAGACTAGTTTGAGAGAATAAAAATACCCATATGATCACTCACAAGAAACGAAACATGCCCATCAACAGAATATAGTTTTTTTTTAACATATGACGTTACAGAGCTCAATGCCTTGAAACTAGTATGAAACTGGTTTCTCATCTTTGACAGAATCAGCTGTGGTAAAACCAGAGGAAAAAGAATCAACAGGAGTTTCCATCTACACGTAGCTTTTAGAAAGTGAAACGAGATCAGAATCATACTCTCAAGAGCCAACTTGAATATAGGTGTTTATTAACTTCGTTCTCTGTGATTCTCGAGCAGTAACTGTAGCTGTAGAAGCTTGTCAAATTCTTCGTTGATGTACATCACAAATAATGAGACAAGTTGTAACCTGATCAAATTTACATGAAATACCAAGAATTGCAATGCAAATAGTTATCATCAAGAACCCTGTGTAAGGTTTACATGATAAACGTAACTAAAAATTTACATTAAAAAAGAGTACAATACAAATATGGAGAAGGGAAAGTAAGAGATCCAACATAAGGACTGTAAATCATATGTTTTCTTTCTAAATACGGAAATGAAAAGGAATACAGAAAAAAAAAAGGATTGGGTATTATTTGCACCCGTCATTTATAACAGTTTTCCGTCTCAATTTTCAAAATGAAAATACAACATCAAGTTCAAACATAATTACTTTCATAAAATATTTTGCTTCCAAACCATCAAGACGTAATGAATAAAATGAGAATCATACGTTACACATATATAAATAAAATATTATGAGTTTGTAACCATTCATGCTTTTGGAATGTGCAATGGTCTTTGGTATGGTATTTCAATCTCTATGACAAGGTGGTTGAGAACTCGACCTTTGCCACCCTATACTTCATCATTAAGTTGAAATTTAGCATAAAAATGGATTTGGCCTATTCACTTTTCAAGCCCAGAAGACCACGAGATGGTGTTCTCGAGATTCTTCTCCGGACAAAATATTTTAGGCTCAAACACTCAGGTAATTGGCAATCTGACCTGAGTTACTGTCACCGGGTCCATTGAGAACAGCATGTCACCAACAATAACTTCTAAACAAGCTTTAGCATTATCCAGGTTCTTCTGTAAAATAGAAGTAACCTCCACTAGAAATGAAGTGGTAGGGATGTTGGACTTGGGGTGATATATTGAGAAGGAAAAGATAGTAATAACATCTAAAACTAAAGCTCGAGGACCTTATCTAATGAACTTTCCAACATATCATTTTCAACAAGTCATAAACACACCGACTCAGTCTCCTCTGCACAAGCTCGGGTATATGCCTTCTGATGCTTCAAAATCAGCAATAAGTGTTTAAGTACAACATGAAGCGTAAACCATCTAGTCAGTAGCACATGTATTTGACTATTAAAAATGACAAATAATTAGCAATAGTTTACCTAAAGCTTTTTTAAGACCGGATAAAAATGGGTAGAGGGAACAAAATTATGATGCACAGATATGACTTGCATACTGTTTCTGAAAAAGTTCCCATACAGTGATGTGGTAACTTTTGGAAAAGATGGGGAAAAGATTTCGCAGGACGTATTAATAAAATACTACAAATGTTATATAGAATGCGATCATCATCATCATCATTATTATTTAAGAAGCATCAAGAGTTCAGAGCCTTTCCTGTGTGTATTATTATAGTCCGTTGAGTTTTTATTTATTCCAAGGGCGTTTTTTAGCATATTTTATAAGAACACTTTTTGGGTTGTAGAACAGTTTCAAAAAAAAAAAAAACAATTTGGAAAGATTTCATCCAAAACCATATACAACTGCAAGAAGCAAATATACATGCTTCTTAGATTCCAAGAAAGAATGGTGACAACAAAAGTTGTAAGAGTTGCAATTTGGAATCAATGTTGGCTGTTTACTATGCTAGTACCAATATTACATATGTTATATTGTTTATAATAATAACAATGTTGTCGCTATAAATAGGAAAAACAAAAATAGCTTTATATTGGGATTATACTCTAAATATTACGCAGCAGACAAATCATCATCGCCTAAAGAGGAACCAAATGTGAATACACCTTAACATTTAATACTCCATTGAACAAGTTATCTTTCCAAAATCCGTCCACCCGGCACCCATTGTGTTTGTTAGAACATTTGCCCACTCCTTTCATCAAGTTTATGGGAGTACAAAAGTACACAACTCGGCACTGGGGCTGCACCTCCTATGTCATTCTTACAAGGCAAATTTTTCAAAGATATTGATGATATAAACGGCTCCATCAGAAAATCATCAGGGCATGACTGCTAATAATTCTATTGGAGATTAAAACAAAAACTATACATGGGCTTTGACACAACAGCTTAAAAACTCAGATTGAAATGAACCTTATCAATTACCATGTTCCATTTTCCATTAATATTGTACTATTCTAGTCTTATTTATAAGTCACTTCCAACATATTTTACCAATACTAAGAAAACCTTAAAACTCATTAACTCTGTCTTAAAATTTAATAAATTCTTAACTTTGTCCCTATTAAATATACACCTTCAATAACATATTTTTTCTCTCCAACATTCAATGGAGGGTGAAAGAGAAAATTTCTAATAAAAATTTAATGACGTGACTTAAAGACAAAAAAATTTTTCTCTCTCTGTCCTATAAATAGGACTAGAGGGAGTACTTAAAAGAAAGCTGATGAAGCAGCCATGTTTTAGAATATATCAACCACAAAACAATCACTGCAAACATTACCAAATTATATGCATCAACAGTACATGAAGCATTGAATTTTAGCAGTCTGATAAACTACCAAGCATACTGAAAATTACGCAAATTCACACCAAAAATGAACCTCATCAGTACCCTTCCTAGTGTGCAATATGGCATTAACATCCGAACACCTATCAATTTCTGGAATCTTTGCCTGAGAACCACTAAAAAAAAGTGAACTAGCAGCAATGACAGGAATGGTGTAAAAAAAACAAAAAGACAAAACAAAACAAAACTTAAACTTAATTACTTTGATTTTTAAATAATAAAAGTAGGGAAAGAAAAGAATATCTATGATTTTTATTTCTCATTAATACTCTACGCTACTACTACCACCACCACCCATCCTTGAACTATGAAGATTAGTGGGGAAAGACAACTTGTTAGCCTTGACGTAGGGAAAGTCTGTTTGCCCCTTGAGGAGTCTATAATTGCTGTAGTCAGGATGTTGCTGCATATCGCACTTTGCAGCCTCTATAAGTCTCAGAAAAATGAAATGTTCACTCCCATGATACATGCTCCAAAATGACAATAATCATGAAATACTATAAAGGGGAAAAAAAACAAAAGAGATTGCAGAGTTGCTACGTGATCCAGTGAAGCAGGAACCCGAACCTCTAGTTGACATCCAAATGACAAATTGACAATTGTACTTATAGCAGTCATAGGTTTACTCAGTGCAGCTTATGAATTCTCCAATCAAGCTCAGCTCTTTTTCTCCTCAATCAAACCACTAAACAGAGAGTTCATGCGACAGTAGACACTGCTATTAAGATAAGAAATGTATTGTTTGCTTCGGAGTTCTGGGAGGGGTGATAACGTGATAACAATATAATTGGCACCTGAAGATCCCTTTGCTGAGCTAGAAGCTTCATTTCAACCAAGTTGTATTGTTCACCAAAAGAATGCCGGGTTCACCAAGACAGCATCATAAATAAAAAGGATCCCTCTGGAAGTTTAACGTGTAAAATAATTGATCAAATAAGTGCTTGTTTTAGGAAGTCAATATACTACTACTAATGTGCGAAAAAGTGCCAATTTTTTTTTTTCGGCGGGGGAGGGTCAATCTAGAAATCATTAATCAATATTGAAAGGTATCGGACGATTTGACAATAACAGGAAGGGAAAAAGAAAAGAATAAAGACCAGAGAACAAGAGATACCTTTCTGGAAGGAAGACAGGCTCGGAACTGACATCGAAACCGACTGTCAGAGATAAGTCTGAAAATCCTCTACTTAACGAGCTCCCGGTATTCCTCATCGTTCCGCCATCCCCGAAGACGACGACGAAGCCATTGTTCCGTCAGTATCAACTGTCACAGAGGCGCATTACGCTTGCACCTTCTCCCAGGTGCTTAGAATTTGGGCCAAAGCCCGTTAAACCTATTTGGGCATTTCCTTATCTTCAATTGGGCCTTACATAAATTTCACTGCATAAGAGGCCTTTCATAAAGGCCCATCAATATAATTAGGCCTTTCAACCAAGTTGTATCAAACACAGTCCTTGGTGAATTTCTTGGACTGCTATCGTAAACATTACTAAAACCCACTTAATCCTTTTGGGCCACTTTGGAAGCCTTTAATCATGTTATGGGCATTTTTGCTTTTCCATTTGGGCTGCCATTTTCAAGATTTTAAGGCATCTGGCCTTTGATTGAGGCCCATCGATGACAACTCAGGCTTAATATTTCTTTGTTGACGAGGATGGCCCTTTTAACAAAATTGCAACTAGTAGGTTTTTTCTTCCCCCATTTTTTTAATGGACTCTTGATGAGATCTTCAATATGGAAGTTGATCTGGTGACAATTTCGAAATGGGATTCACTGATGCAAAATTTCTCACTAAATAAATTGTGAATCTGTGTAAGTATATTTGGAAAATTTTTGAAGAATCTAATGAGGAACAATAGAATGCAGACTGCATTTAAAATTATAGATGTAATGTACTCATGAAATCAGAATTTATCATTCCAGAGAAGGAAATGCGATAATAAGATGTAAGGAAGTTCTTAAAAAAAATGACAAATGGTAAAGTTAATGAATCTGATTATATTCTTATTGAAGTGTGAAAATATTTAAGTAAAGAGTAGGTGCGATGTAACTAAGTTATTTAATCAAATTTTATGGTTAAAAAAAATGCTTGACAAATGAAAGAGAAGCACCTTAGTTCCTATTTACAAAAAATCACCAAAATGATCTTCAAGACATCAATTAGAGGAGTCAAATATATGTCTATGTCATTCCCAAGTTGCTTGGGTCCTGCAATTAGCATGGACAACATCATATACTTGCGCTTCATGCAAAGCCATGGAGGAAGGTTATAAATCACCAAAATGACTGGTCAAGTGCTGTGGCCACTACTTTGAATCCACGAGGATTCATCCCGTTGGCAGACAATGCAAGGCATAGATTCCTACTCTCTTCCCCAAATTCAGGGTACTCATAATCAATCTTTCTTCATTGTGGAGAATCAGCAGGATGATGAAGTATGCCATCTTTTATCTTTTCATCCGTATGCCATGTTAAGCTTTTCGCAATTTCTACATTGCTATACATGCGTTTAAATCTAGGCACGATTGGAAAATACCATAATGCCTTCACGGGACTTGATTCGTTCTGCTTGTAGCGTGAGGCATTACACTTTGGACACTTGGTTAACGACGCATATTTATTCCGAAATAAAAGGCAATCATTAGGGCACGAGTGTATCTTTTCATAACTCATGCCAATTGATCGCAATATTTGTTTTGCGTCATATGTTCGACAAGGAAGCTCATTTTCCTTAGAAAGTAATTCTACTTTCAAATACCCAAGCAACTCAGTAAAGCTCGCATCACTCCAACCATGTTTTGCCTTCATGTTGTACATTTTTAACACTGCTGATAACTTTGATGCACTACAACCAACATACAACAGTGTCTCCGCATCACTTTTCAATTTCTCAAACATTTCCGAACAATCCTCAAGGTCCTCTTCAACTGCTTTGACCATCTGTTCAAGACAATCTTCCTCAAGTGTGCATGCATCAAAATCATTAGGAGATGATGCACAACTTTCACTATGCTTCTGGCTGTAACCAATATCATCTCTTGTCTCTCCATGCATTGTCCAACACTTATAACTTTGATCCAAACCATTAATCACTAAGTGTTCTTTACAATTATCTGGACTAACTCGCTTCACAAGACTGCACTTTAAACATGGGCAAATAATCCTAGTAGGATCCTCCGCATGCTTAACTGCAAGCTTAACAAAATTTGCCACCCCATCCCAATATTCTTTGGATAGACGATTGGCAAACATCCATTCCTTATCCATAATTCCTAGAAAGATTAAGAGGGAAATATGATTAGTGATTTTGACTACTCCTAGCTAGTGGGAGAATTAAATACAAAGATCAATCAGTCAATAAGTCACTAACCACATGTTTGTACATTCCCTCTTTAATCTTATTTAAAACTAATAATTATATTTTAATGCTCGCTATTGAAATAATTTTGGCAGCATAATGACTTGAAAAAGAGAGTTTTTCGAGCTTTATCCCCTCTCTCTATTAATCTAAATGACAACAACAACAGCATCCACAACAACAATCACATAAAGTTATATTCAAGAATAATTTAAAAAAAATTGATAGTATATATAACAGCTTAAAATGAGTATTACCAGGTCTTTATGCCTTTAGAAAAATCAAGTTATCCATAATGAAACTATATATAATCCAACAATAATAATAACAACATTAATAAAAAACTCAATTTTAATTAAAATCATATTAAACCACATCAAACACTATATAAATATCAATTTAAAATCTCAAAAATATTTTTTCATAAGCCAATTCTTAATCAATTGAAAAAATAGTAATGTAAAAATTGACAACTCAAGGAATATAAATCTAAATTAATCATTTAATTTCAGAACAAATACTCAGAACTTAAAAACAAGGTAATTAGGTAGTATACTATTTTCATATCCTTAATGAATCTCCTCATATCAGCAAAATAATTGGATAATCCATTAATTCAATAATTGAGCACCTAAAAACTCAAAACTTCAAACACTCACTAAGAAGAACAACAATGCAGATCAAAATAAGCAACACAGAAATCATTTATTGTGTATGAAAATCAAAATCAACGACCCATACATTCAAAATGAAGATTAATGATTAGAAAAGCAAGAACCTACCTCAACAAGAAGAGGGAATGCTGACTGTGTAGAAAACCAGAGACGAGAGTTTGTTGCAGGGTGATAGAGACCGAGAATCCAAACGAATGAGTGCCCACGAGACTTATGGAGGCCGAGAATAAAAAACTCCTCAAGAATTGAAACTAAAAATGTGTTTTTTGGTAGTTAGAGTGATGAAATATGGGTTTTGGTGGCTATGCGTTTGTTTCTGAAGACGAAAGATTTGCAAAAATGGAGAGAGAAAACGAAATCTGAAGGGAATTTAAATGACAATACTTGACGGTTATTATGAAATAACCGTCAAGTAATACATATTTGACGCTTCTTTTAAAAAAATTGTCAAGTATATGGTAGACAAACTTGATAGTTATTTTAAAAAAAGTATCAAGTATGTGAAAAAATTTAATTTTTTTCCACTGTTAATTTGACAATTGTTTATCGAAAACCGACGTGTAAATTTTAGCTTTATATTATGGTTATTTATAAAAAACATCAAATATGCATACTTGACGGTTATCTTTAAATAACCGTCAAATATCTGCCTAAATATTTGATGTTTGTTTCGTAAAAACCGTCAAGTATTTTTTGCCTTTTTTATTTGTCATTTTTTTAAATAAACATCAATTATAGGGAGTCAATTATACACTTTTCTGTAGTAGTGTCTCTTAAAAAAAAAAGCTCAATCTTAAAATAAGTAAAGTCTTTTTTTTTTTAAATGAAAGGCGTATCTGTTGTTGGGTTATTCTCTCTCATGTTACAACTCCTGACCCTATTGAAGAGGATCCAAATTACATTGATAATTATATTTTTTTCTGTAAAAACTAAAAATGTTCAGATGAAGCTACTCTTAGTTTAATGAACAATGAAATTGCTTAAAGCAACACAAAAAACAACATGGCTGATAAACTTGTCCATGACTTTAATTTGGCAACAATATTGTTGGCCGGCCTTATAATGATATTGTTGGAAAAGATAAAGCCTTATAATTAAAGCATAATAAACTTGTCCATACCTTTTCTTTTTTTTAAAAAAAAAAAAGAGGAACAGGAACAGGAGACATTATTTAGTTTTGAAATATGTTTGTTCAATACACACACACACTAAAAAAAAACTGAATAGTGTGTGTGTATGTATATATATATTCTTTTTAATTTAATTTTGTAATAAATTAATATAAAATTCCCCTCAAGATTATTGCCAACGTTGCGTTTGGGGTATATATGCAATAGGTGCCTCAAAATAAAAATTCAAAAATCAAAATACTTGATCGAGAAAGAACGAAATCTCTTCAAAAAACAGGACCATAACCTAAAAAATTTGACACTTGAGCTTCCACGTGTTATTTGCCAAACAAGACAGAGATTCCGCAACCATAAGTTTGTTAATTAGTTCGATGTTGATTATAATGGCTTTTCTCGGGCTTAGCTCTACATGGTTCGATATTAATCTTGATCAAGAGCTGGAAGCTGATGGTGGGATCAAAATGCTTTTCTCCAGAACAAGAATAATGGTTATCTATATAATTAAAGTTAACAAACTAAATTTTTGATCATATTGATACAACATGCTCCATGAATATACATACATACATACATACATACATACATATATATATATATATATATATATAAGTTTTCAAGTTTAAATAAGAGAAAAATTATAACTCTTTTCCATGATTCTGATTAAAAACCGAAGATCAGAGCATTTGGATTCAATAAGAAGCAGTAAAAGTCTATTCCCATTCGAAATTTGTGGGAACTAATTAATAAAACCATGTGTTATAATTCGGTTCATGCAATCAACAGCGTTCGTTAATTAACTTAATATTGCAAATAGATGATTGTAATGATAACTGCAAATGAAGATATAAATAAAATTCAAATGCATATGTCACAGACTTTAATTCAAAAATTTCATTACATATATAGTATATATACATCTCAAGAGTGTGGATCAACATCAATTACATGTATGTATGTATGTATGTAAATCAAAACAACTTCACTATGGAGGAACATTTATTCCAAACTTGATGGTTGTTTGCTGCAATTGCTGAAGCGTTGGCTTTGAAGGCAGGAGAGTGAAGAACGAGGATCAACAAATTACCAAAGCAACTTTTGCCGACAACCTTAACCAAGTTGTA